GGGGGGGGGGACGTGGTGGGGAGACGATGGGTGAAGATGAAGGGGAACATCTCAAAGCACCACCCATACAGTATGTGCTTATTAATTCACTCACCCCTCCACTTGAAGCTGCAGGTCACTGTGAGTTATGGCTGACACCCCGAGTCTGATATTTATATGGCGTTGAATGCAACATTAAATCAGACCCCCACAGGCAACATTGATAACCTTTAACGTAGCTTGTAATACTTTTTAACTTGTAATAACGTTATGTAGCATGTCAGACCACAGCCCCATTGTTTGCCTTCCATGAAAAATTATTCCTCTGGAAAAAAAAAAAAAAAGAGAGAGAGAGAGAGCGAGAGAGAAAGAGGTTTTCCATAAGCTGCTGCTCCAAAATCAATAGTGCGCTGTAAGGGCTTTTGTTAGAGGAACTCTTATGTTGCTGGAGAGCAGTGGGAGGGGGGGGGGTGAAATGTAGAGCATGTCTGGGCCCAGGGTACAGATAATTGTTAACCAAAGATTATATAATGGCTCAGTAATGTAAACAGAGAACCACATGCCAAGTTAATGTTCTCACAGGCCTGGATGGAAGGCTTTCATGCACTTTTCTGAGGTAATGCTGACAGACTGTGAGGCTCTGCACAACGCGCGTCCCTCCCGTCTCTGTTCTTTTTTACCCCTCGAGGTGCTTTGAACGCGGTCAGACATCTTCTCTAAGTTGTCCAGTGCGTCCTCTCCGAAGGTGTGTGGCAGCGTTCGGGGGCAACCGCCAGGGCTTGTTAAGGGTGTCAGAGGAGCTGAGAGAAATGTCATCCTTTGGGCTCTCTGAGGTGCTTGTCACCTGCCAAATCAATATCTCCTTGCTCAGCTCACAGCACGCACACACGCACACACGCACACACACACACACACACACACACACACACACACACATACACACACACACATAGACACACTAAACTGCAATATCCTGTTGGTGATGGGATTGGCAGCTTCCCTGGGAAGAGGCGAGCTTTAACACGTGTCTGTGTTTCTGTTGCAGAACGCTCCAGTTTAATGGCTGGCAGGTAGAGGCCAAAGAGGGACAATCAACATGAACTCTATTCCGTCGATGGACAGACACATACAGCAGACCAATGACCGTCTGCAGTGTATCAAACAGGTGAGACAGACTGTTTAAGTCAAACCTTTTGTCAGTCAGTCTGATTTACCAGGTATTAAACATTTATTTTTGCCACATTATGAGGGCTTGATATGTAAGTAAGTATTTACATAAGTATTGTAGTTAAGTAAAATCTCGATGTTCTACTTTTCCACCTCCATATTCCATACTTTTACACATATTTTAGGGGCAAATGTTCCTCCCTTAGTTTCCCTGCATATTCAGATTTTATATTCAAAAGGGGTTCGGATTATGAGATAAACTGACATGTAAACATGTGTCGACTTTTGGGGGTTTCTGATAAACAGTAGTGTCGTGGCTTGAAGATATGATTCAAAGCAAGAGAAAATGCTAAGCAGAGTCAGCCAAAACTAAAGAGGACAATGTTGTTGTTCTGTTGGTCCGAGAGCAGGAAAGTACCCGAGACTGGACACAGGGTTCAGAGTTTCCCTGGGGAGCAACAATATGAAGTTGGTGAAATTTAAACTGCCACTGCAAAGTCAGACTCACATTGCACAGCTACGGTACAATGTTAAAATACTGCTTACAGATCAACGAACCAATCTATGAAAGATTTCAATCCATACAAATAAATGTAAATGCTTGACACACTTTGCACTGTGGTAAACTGTGAAAATCCAGTGTAGGATTGTAACTTTTACTCGAGGTCCGTCAGCCGTAGGATGTGTTGTTATGTAAACACAGATTATGTAGAGTGTTGATGTTCGGCATCAAGGCTCTGACCTCGATGCTCCCCACATAGGAAACTCTGCACAGCAGGGAATGGGGGAGTGATGATAATAACTTGCCCCCAAGCAGAACATAGACAGAGAGCTTACAGGTGGAGGTGGGGCCTTGGAAATGCTTCATCAACAACAGCAGCAACAGTGGCAGTGTAGCTTTCAGGCGAGCGCTGTGGCGGCAGTCCTGATAGCAAAAGAGTGAGCAGAGCACTGACAGTTTAGGTACAGTGGCATGTTGTGATGGATATATGTATGAGTGTGCAGGTGTGTGTTTGCTTCTTGAACTAGCTTTGTTAGAGGATATTAATCCTTCTTCCACTGTTTCATGTGTGATGTTTATCACTATGAGTGATTCTGAACCTTATTGTATGAATCTAGTTTTGGTGATTTCCTCTTAATTTAGTTTGTGTTAAACGATTTTGAGCTCCAACCTAAAACCGTCAAGCCAAAACAAGTTTTCACCAATTTGTTTCATTTGTTTGCTTTAAGAAAAAAGAAGAAGGGAGGTAACAGTCTGTTTCCTTTTCCAAATATCTGCTTGCGCACACATGTGCGCACACTCCCAGTCATGGCCCTAATACATCTGCTGTCGTCCTGTTTGACTAATCTGTTTGGTCCTATTATCAGGCCTGTGGTGTGACTCAGGTTTCTGACTGGGGTCAAAGAGTGGAGGCTCCCCTGCCTCCCCCCATCATCACCCTTCTTTCTTCATCCACCACTGCTGACTCCCAGCGAGTCCTTTTGTTCTCCTCTCACCAGCATTTACAGCGGGACGAATCTCTGGCAGAATTAAACAGACATACTTGCGTAACCCCGGGCGACAGGGCTCTCCCTTTGATCTCTTCTCTTAACTGACGGCCCGTTTTGTTTCTGGGGTCTGTGCTGAGGTCCACCTCCTGAAAAGTGCATCAGAGGGCCTTTGGGGAAAGTGTTTGGGGCTTTGCACTGAGACACAAGTGTGGACGTGGCAAATTGTTTTACCCTCGGCAGGGAGTTCCCAGCTATTACTGAGAGAGAGAGACAAGGTGAGGCAGATAGAGACGGGGCGAGTGTTTAGGGAGCACACAGAGGGAAGCCTCTGTGTGTAGACACATACTTTGACGTTCTTAAGTAATAAGGTAGAAAGAGGTAAACAGTCCCTGTCCTCACTCTGGTAACCGTCGTCACAGCAGGATATTAAATATTCAATATCCACTCCTTCTTCAGTCATAATTTGGATTCTATGAATGCACTATATTGCTGATTGCTGATGGGTTACATTAAATGAAGTTCACAAAACAGAAACAGAAATACAAAAGTTCAAACAATTCAAATGTCACGGGGTTGAATGTGTTAACCCCACAAGGGAAAAATTTAAACAAACACGCTCCGATGTTAGCGGCCGGGGGAGCAGCACATGGGTAAACATGCCAATTAGAGAGATCCATGGCATACAAGGAGGCCTCCAGTCCATCTAATAAATGGTTAAGCGCCGGGTCATTTCAAACCGACCAGTAAGAGCCAGCACCCTGCTAATAGAGGCAGCTTTGTGCCGCAGACAATCAGGGTTTGGAAGACCCGCATAATAAATACCATTTATGTCCTGCCAATTAGACTAGCAGTGAGCCCATTCAGCCGGCCGTCTATTCTCCTCCCCGCACACAAAGATGATCATCAGGGGAGATCAGAACAATTAACTCACTATCTTCTCCCCCTGCTCCCCATTGTCCAATATCCAAGCCATTAAAATAATTAAGAAAATATTGTAAACCAATCCAGCTGTTTGCTTTAATTGAAAGTGTGCACATGCTGAAATTTGGCTTCTCAAAGGCAGTATGGACGTGGAGCAGGAATATAAATGAAGGCTCCTCCATTGTGTTGTTGTTTTCTGGGAGATGTGACATGTCTGTCTGAATGCTCCCAGCCGGTGCCGCGGACAGAGGAACAAATTGATTTTGTTGCTCAAATGATAAATTACTGCTGAGCGCGATGATAAAGTGGAGGAAATTGGAATCCGTCGGCCTGATTGAATCACGGGTTGAAAGTTAAATCAGAAATCATTACGGTGGTAATTTTTAAATTGCCATCTTGTTGTGAAATTGTAGTAATGTGTTTTTTAAACAATAACTTAAGCAAACTCTTCATAAACTATAAAAACATGGCCATTTTTCACATCAATATACTTATTTTGTTACTTAGCATTTATAAAAGTCCTCCAGAAGTTGTTTACTTCTGAATTAGCGTTGAAAAAGTAGGAGTTCATGACAAGTCTGACACCTGACTGCTATTTTGTGCTGAAACAATCAGTGGATCAATTGATTATCAACAGACACAAATTGACTCAACAACAAATTAGATAATTGATGGGTTGATTCATGGTATTAGCCATCTATTAAGCAAAACTACCAAACAAAAGCTTCAGAATTATGAGGATTTGCTGTTTTATATCATTGTAAATTGAGTATCGTTGGGGTTTCAGACTGTTTCTCAGACAAAACAAAACAAATAATGATCTTATCTTAGTCTCTGGGAACTATCTTAATTGATTAATAAAAAGCAAATAGAAATATTAGTTTCAGCCCTGGTGCTTTTTTACATAAATATTTGTAGAGGTAAACAATCGTGATAGTGTTTGTTTCCTTTTGCTGTGTGCAGGTGCTGCTAAATACCTCGCGGGATCATATCTGTAACTTTTAGAAAGTGATACCGCAAAATAAATATGTTCACTTGTTTAACCTTCAAACGAACGAAGATGTTTAGAAGTGATACATAAAAACAGTTATCTGATTTCACCCCCACCCCCACCCCCACCCCCCGACACATAGTTTCTCAGTGGCAGTTTGTTTTCCTCTCGCGTCCCAGAATTGCACCGTTGTGAACACTTTAGGGAAGATGGGTTCCGTGATACTGCTGGTATTTATTTCAGAGACCGTATTTTTCCTCTCACTGTGGGGAAGCTGGTTTGCTGTCAGACACTCCACTCACTGATATGTTCTGGGATTTGGCGGAAACTATGAACTCTCCTTTCGCTGCAGGAGCACTTCCTCAGAGTGTGTCAATATTTCAAGATGAACTGGAAGACATCCCTCTCTGTTCTGCTGTACTGGCTATGGATCTGGGTTTTTTTTTTTTTTTTTTTGGTCTTCCACTGTGTTCTTTCCAGGGTTAATTGTCTCCATTAATATGTTTTCAGTGCTCTGGGGCGTCAGTGAATGTAGAACAACAACAGCAGCAAAACCAAAAGCTGTGATTCTGAGAGGAAAGGGAGCCTTTGCCAGATCGCGTGCGCTGTCACATTCAGTTTAGCTGCAGATGTGCAGATCAAGTTGTTTCCAGACGTGACTACAGAGGATGATTGTATCTGAAGAAAGCTGTATTCTCGGGACATTGCAAGTCCCGTCTGTCTTTGTTTCCCTCGAACTGGGCCGAGCTTTAACTGGAGTGTAAATGTTGGAGTATCATTCTTGCCCAGGGGACAAGGACAGGGGGGTGGGAGGGAGTGAGGGGTCTCTTGGCTACTAGTTTAGGTTTGATTGGTGGGTTTTGGCCAGAGAAGGGAGAACATCTGTGGCGTGGCAGTGCCAAGCTCTCCCTGTGACAGCCACACTGGTGGGACCAATTGTTCTGAGTGCAAAGAACAGTAATCACTTCAAGCCCAAGTGGTGGCGGCGTGTTTCTTTTTTTTTTTTCTCTCCCCTCTATATATTCTCCCTCCTTCCCCCCTTTTTCTCCCCCTCTCCATCCTTGGTGCGCTGATTGCGTGTGTTGTCTAGCTTCCAGACTCATCTAAATTTAGCATCTGTGGCTGTGTGTGTTTCTACAGGAGACTTTATCCACCATTAGAATTTACATGCTCAGCAACCCCACCGCGTCTCATCTTAGTCTCCCCCAACAAAGACATGTCGGGCGAGCGAGGAACAGAGCTCGGACAGAGCATAAAATAAACAAGACTGGTTTCATCCAGCCCCTGTCAAAGGCTTTGTAAATTGATATGAAAGCTGCCTTACCAAATCCTGACCTCTGCTGCCCCCTAAAGAGCAAACAAGAAAAAAACACTGCGAGGCAGTGACTGCACAGCTGTCACTTCCTCTTCTCGTTTATTCCCTGACAGTGAAATCAAAGCGCACAGATGTGTTAAGAAGGATGACAAACCTCTCTATTTACCTTTGATGCCATGGAGTGGGAGTCCATTTGTGCCTGGTTTGTACAAGTGCACTACAAAGGCTTGTGTGCATAATCTCTCCAAAGGCAACAGATTACTGCAGAGTGGAGGTAGTGAGTCTGCTCTTCTATGTATAAAATTCATATTGAGGTTTGAAAGCTTTTAGAGAAGATCAATGACCAACGCCGAGTCCGTTGTGGCAACCCAGAGAGGTCCATTTTTCAGTTTCCTGTGCTGCTCTACAGCAAGACGGACAGCAGGGTTAGTGAGTGGGCTGCTGGCTCCGGTTGGGGAATGAATGCCATAAAGGGGTGCCTGTAGGTCAAGGAGCCTGTTGTCAGATAAAGTCACAGCGCAGCTCAGGGCCGGCTGGTGATATAAGGGCTTCCTCGGCTATTCATGCAGCCACACAAGGAGATTTATTGCACTTAGTGGCAAGGCAGTGCTACACAAACCTGGGGAGAGTGAGGTGAAGGCACGAGTCTAATGGGGACATACCCCTTCAGCCCAGAGCATTACAGCATTAGTAATCTAAAGTGTGATAAGCAAAATTTGGGAGATGCTGTTTTCTTTTAAGACACTCTGAGTGCTTTTAATTATTCATCCTGTTATTGGTGTGGCCCTCCTGCTGGTGACAATCGATCCAGTCGTCTGCTTTCCATCTCTTATGCGGATACAGGGAGGCAGCAAAACTTGGCAGGTAGTCTAACCTTATCCTCCATATCTTTTGGCTCTACATCCTTTCAATGTAGATACAGAAGTCAGATACTCAGGATTACCCTGGATACTCAGGTTTGAAACTTTTTATTAAAGGGAATTGAAGCAAATGTGTTTATGTGGTATTAGTACTAGTGTTTAATGCCCATAATGACCATGAAATCACTTCAAAACTGTCATTTTAGCAGGCCAGGACCAAATTTATTACTATTTTATTTTGTTATATTATATTAGAAAGAAATACACTTTTCCTGTTCACAACAGATATGTAATTAAATGTTTTGGGTTGTTTGGAGGTATCTTTAGTTTTTGGATATATGTACACATTTTACAAGAATGGAGGCATAGCTTGGTTTTATGACAAAATAAAACCCAAGCCAATTATCCAGCACCTTCTCATCTTGTCTTATTATACTAATCCATTATCCACAAATAAGTTATTGGGTAGCTTAATATGTATCTCAGAATATCTCTATTCTGTTTTCACATTCTTATGACCTTTGAATGTTTCTGGACTGAATCTTTCTCCTTTTTCCCCACAGCACTTACAAAATCCAGCAAATTTCCAAACAGCAGCAACCGAGCTGCTGGACTGGTGTGGCGACCCCCGAGCCTTCCAGCGTCCCTTCGAGCAAAGCCTGATGGGATGCCTAACGGTAAGTTGCCCACCCCCCTCTCTCCCTATGCTGTCTCATACTCAAAGGTTCAAGGACAAGGAGGAGGCCGCTAAAACAACTGCTGCTGTGGCTCTTTTCATAACTCCCTCAGGGATACAACAGAGCTAATGTTTAGCTGCCTGATCTTCACTGAGGTCACTGGACAATAAAAAGCATTTGAGCTGCTGGAAACTACTGAGATTCAGTCACTTTATAGTGACTTCTGTTACAGTTTGTGCTGTGGCTCATGAAATCGCCACACTGGAACACAAAAAGGACAAGTGCAAAAGCGTCCTCAAACCACAAAGCAATCAGTGCTCATAAGAAAATACAGTTTCAAACCCCGTAATTCCCCTACTTAAATGTCTGGGGGCTTTTGATTAATTGAATAATTAGTATCCCATGACATTTGAAAAAAAGAGACTTGACTGTTTTGAGACGTATACTGTAAACAAAGAAGAGATTTTGGCCACAATTGAAACATTCACCAGAGTAATTTGCAAGCAGGGTTGCATATTTTGACTAGTTTTAATTATACATATCGAGGGCAGAGCTGTTTGTCTGCAATGCTGCACCAAACTGTCAAAAGAGGTAAATATGTAATTCCTTTACACTCTCAAGTTCAGTGTCTATTCAAAGGAATACCCCACCATAAATCTGTTTTGCATTTTGTCGAACACTAAGCCCCTGTAGGATTGAAAGGTGGTCCTGAGAAGTCTGTTGCTTGCTCTCTCATGAAGGACAAAAGCTGTCAGCTCAGATTCGAAACAGTATCAAAATGTCCGTACAAACTTCTCAAATCATTCCTCACTCAGTAGTCCGCTGTCAATCCTATATCTAGCCTTTTTTTTTTTTAACCAACAATGATCCTCTGTTTGTTGCTAGCATGGGTAGCTGTTTATGTTTGTTATCTAGCTAGCAACAAGATAAACAGCTAACTGCAGTAGCGACGATTTGAAGTTGTCCATTTAGCCATATTTTGGTATATTTTTGACAATATATAGGATTTGAAACATGCTGAACATTTAGAGGGTCAGCAGTGGTGGTTTATCACCCAAGCTATGCCTAAATACACAGCTTACACAGCACATGTTGCTAGTGTGGTTAGCTGTTTACATTTGTAGCGTTGAACTACTATTAGCTTATGCTGCTAAGAAATGTAAACAGCTAAAGGTGCTAAACAACAAACTTTTTAGCTGTATTTTGGTGAACAGGCAGATTAGTGTTCTGAGATGTTTGTTTTTTATAATGTTGGGGATCCATTGTAACTGTTTTGAATCTAAGCTGACTACAGCCTCCGTCTGCCAGCAAAGGAGCAAACTACACACCACTCTGATGAGCCACTTTTCAAACCAACAGGGGGTGAGTACTGGTAGAGTTGTTCATTTTTAATGGGGTATTCCTTGAATAAAACCCCCTTCAGAATTATTCAGTGTCAATGCAGACAGGAGAGGTGCTAAATAGAGGAATTATTCTCCATTTTCTACAAATTTTGGGCCAAGCACACAGTCAGCAGAACAATGGATGGACTGCAGATGTGTCACTCACCTGTCACCTTGGGCCATACTTAACATGCTCATTTCCATATTGCCTCCAGCAGTGGATAAGAGATACATATAGCTCCTGTTGGGTGCTATTTGTAACCCCGCCGAGCAAGCACAGCTACAGCGGGCAAAGGAACCCGAGAGATTTGCACTTGATCACCTCAGTGAAACCGCAGTGACACATCCCTCCATTCAAGTGATTGTTTGTGTTACTGCTTTAATGTGCAGCAGCAGGTGACTTTTCCTCAATTTCGCCAATTCAATTTGTTTCCTGCCGTGAAAATCTCAAGGCTTTTCCTTTTAGTTTATGGGTTGTATAGACCTTGGCGTGAACCACACTGGGAGGGAGCACAGAGAATCTGATGTGATTGTGAAATTACCCGCTCTCAGACTGTAATGGTAAACACTTCACCCTGTTGCCTGCATGTTGGTATCTCAGTGCTGCCTCAGCATTGGCATTTGGTGATATCAGACAAACAACTAAATATTGTGTCATCAAGAGAAATTTGCTATGATATCAAACAAAACAACCTGCCAATGGGGAAAACAAAAATAGCTTGATAAGATTTTTTTGTACTGTAGTATGCACACTGCAAAAAGGGCAAATCAGTAAAGTCGTAATGTTATCACACATGTTATTTTAGATTAATTCAATCTCATGCAAGATAGATCATTTTCAAGCACCATTTGGCATGAAATTATTGTACTTGTTTGAAGGTCACTGGTCTTGATTGTTCTTAATTAGATTTCAATCTATTTTTCATAGGTAGACAAGAAAAAAAAAATGCAAATTGCGTATAAACCTGTGTATGTTACAACCTCCAAATGAAGCCTTTGACCATCAGCTGTAAAGAGTCAGAATAATTAATTTTGTTATTAACTCCTAAATTAAACTGAATAAATAGACTAACGTAGTAAAGAAAGTTTCATTGCTTATTTCAAGTTTTCTTTCTTAGCCATGCTAATTGCATGGCTAACAGTATCAACCTCAACTGTACTTATTTGTTTGCATTTTCATTGTGAGTATGTTAGCATGTTAATGTTACATTTAGCTCAAAGCATTGCTGGGCCAAGGTGCAGCCTCACAGAGATGTTAGACTTGTTGCTAGTGTGAAAGTCATACAGTGTTTCATAGGAGCTGGACTTTAAACTGGAAAATAAAATAATTTTGCTCTCCTTGGTGGCTGTTTTTTTTAAGACTAGCAAAGTTTTTTTTATTTTTTATTAGCTGAGCTTTAAGGTAAGCTCATTCAGATGATAGGATTTGTCAAATAGATAAAATGTTGAATTTAAAGGCACATATTTGCTTTATAGTAGACAGTCCACCACAACTCCACTGGCTGTGTACAATTTAAGTCCTGAAATTAGAACTACTTGTTGTAACTTCTTACACTAGAATTACCATTTAGCAAAATGTCCCTCACGAGTTTAGATTCTAATTAGGCAGCCCATACTCGTATATCTTTTTCTTAATGGGCAATTCCTATAAATAAAGGCCAGATATACACACACTGTTTTGGTGTCACGTCAAGACTATACTTACAGAAGATAATGATATGGTGCAGGCAGCAGTGTTCAGCTGTACTACCTCAGGGCTTGTCTTGAACTTCGGAGTGTGACAGTATGATCGCGGCTATGAAAAGCCAGGCAGGGAGAAGAATCTGTCTTGAGTGAGGCCCAGTGTGGTCCACACAGGCCTTAGTATGTCCTGAAGGTCTAAATGAATTGAGCGGTTCTCTTTGAGCTGATAATGGCGATGGTAAATCAAAGCAACGTGTGCCACATAAGGGTGATTTACATCGCCTCCTATGGCATGTGGATGTTTCTCTTAATGTTTCCTCTCAGTGGGCATCGATGCACTTGGGGCCACATTTTCTTCTCATCTTGCTGTCCACTGGCTCATATGGAACTGATAAACTTGTAGGGACTTTATCCCTTAAGTTCAAATGGATCTTTGATGCTGCCAAACTTCGCTCTTATGTAACAGCCAAAATCTGGGAAAATGTCAAGACAAAATGTTCAGTCCTCTGATGTGTTTAACTACCAGGATGGGTCTGTATTCAATATCTTTTCTTTAATAATCTATACATGTGGTTATCTATCTTCAAAAATTAGAATTTAATACCCATGTCGGAACAATATCATTGATGTTTATATTACCGTTAGGTCTATTTGTTTTTGGTTTGTGTGTGTATGCGTGTTGTAAAAAAAAAAAGTAAAATTTTACATAGTGAATAATTTTCTATATATTCTAACATTGTAATATGAGGCATTTTTAAACTTTTTTTTTTACTGTTTTCTCAACTTCTGCACAATAAAAATCTGACGCCTCTAGCCCATGATGATCTGTCATTACATGTATTTGAAGGCAAGGCAAAGTAGCTTTATTTATACAACACATTTTAGAGCTTTACATAGAATAGAAGCAATAAGCAATAGAATTAGTAAGAAAAAACAGAATAAAATGAGATATTAAAACATAATCGATACAATGAAATGAGTGATACAAATGAAAATGAAATGCAAATAGACAATAATAATAGTAGAGCAGAAATACAATTACATTTACATTTACAGTTACAGTGCAGTCAATAAATTGTAAGTTGTCCCAAATGCAGCAAAGGACATAAAAGTGCAGTAGAGAAACCAATCATGTCATGAGCACAGGAAAACAGTTTTTCATTTAGATTTGAGTCGGGGCGCATTTATCATTGGGAAGTCGGTCCCGTCTGTGTGCAGTGTAGTAACTAAAAGCAGCTTCTCCCTGTTTGGTTCTAGCAGCACATTAAAATCTATTCTGTAGGTAACTGGTAGCCAGTGTAAGTATTGAAGAACAGGAGTGATGTACTCAGTTCTTCTGGTTCCGGTTAGAACTCTGTCAGTAGAATTCTGAGCTGAAGGTGTCTAGTGGGTCTTTTTGGAAAGACCAGACAAGAGAGAAGAGAGAGAGTCCAGCCTGCTGGAGATGAATGCACTTTGTTCGTTTAGCTTCTCTAAATCTTGTCAGGACATGAGACCTCTAACTCTCGGTATTTATTTGAGGTGATAAGATGCAGATTTTTATTAAAAAAAATGTTTTGGAAATAAAGCTTTGTGCTGCCTTGGAACTGGTGAGCATAGATTTGGCTTTTCTGTGACCTTCATCTTCCTGGGAATTAAGAGAATAAAGATAACAACTGAGTTTAACTTCCAAAAACTAGCACACTCCAGCACTTCACAGATGCTGGACCAACAATCTAACTTAAAGCAAGAGTGCGACAAAAGATCTTTACAATGTACTGACCTGTGTGTCTTAAAAATGCTTTATCTTACAAAAACTATGTGTGATTAGTTATTTCCTCAGCAGGAATATTCTTCAGACACCAACAGAATACAACACTGTCCTCAACGAGTGATGCATGCTGTCATTGTGTTCAGGTGGTCAGCCGCGTAGCAGCGCAGCAGGGCTTCGACTTGGACCTGGGCTATCGGCTCCTGGCCGTGTGCGCTGCCAACAGGGACAAGTTCACTCCAAAATCAGCAGGTAAGACCAGAGTTTTCTCAACCGCCGTCTCAGGCCATCTGGCCATGCTGGCCTGTCCGGGCTCAAAGTTCCTGTCTGCATTTTTGGCATCTTTTCACAACACCCACCCATTGCTACCGTAGACTGTAGAAGATCCCGATAATCCAGAGAAGTAACTGTTTTGGACAGCGAACCAAGTATGCCAAATGGTCACTGGCACATGTATGAATTCATGTCTTACACTTTAACTTGATAATTTGTTAGTTTCTTGCGAAGATTAAAAGAGACAAATGATGGCCGTCGATTGCTTTATTCCTCTCTGAATCATAAACCAAGCATCTCTATTTTAAATAGCAATGCGAAATACCTTTTCCTTTTTCAACCTCACTGAACATTAAGCATCTCCCTCTAATATCTGCATAAACTTTCACTTCTTCACGTTACATCTCACTTCCAAACTTGTCCACAAAAGGGAGAACTACATCTGTATTTTCCTCTCCCGAGTTTCAGACAAAGTGCACACAGCAGAATCTTCCATTTGTCACACACGACAAAAAAAACTACTGTATCGGTGATGATGAGTTCCTGTTTTCATACATCTCCGTCATCTGGGTACAGTGATAGATGATTGGGACGGATGTAGACTGCTAAATGTTGTTATCAAGCTGGCGGGAAAAAAAGCGTGCTGAGGCACGACGGGAATGAAGATGTATAGGCTGTCAGCAGCTTGGGAAGATAACGGGAATATTTTGTGCTCTTTTACAGTTTTTGATTTGTGGTTTCCACCTGTCTTGGGTTACGCGGAGAGAAAAAAAAAAAAAAAACGGGGGTTGTGCAATTGCTTCTGTGTGCTCGGCCTCTCCGCTGAGCCGTCTTAAGTCGCCTAGGACATCAAAGTCAGAGCCACATCTTGTTTGAATTTTCACTTGTGTTTGCCTTTTTCTGATTTATGGAGTTCATGGTTTTATATGTGGTTATGTGAGGCTTCATATCATGCGATGTCACTCTTGTGTCAGCCACAGGAGGGGAATCACTCTCCGCCTGCAATTAACTTACACCACCAAATGTTCTAATTCTACTTAATCCTAAATCAAATCTCAGGCCCTACTTTATGGGCTTAGATAAGATTGCCAATTGATTCTCTGTCTGAATAATTTTCCTGCAACAGTAGTCATTTGGAAAGTGGCAAGTACTTGAGTTTAGGCAGAATCCCAAAGTGCATTTAATGGACAATTATGTACCTATATATGCATAAATATTTTGAGAGGAGAGGCCTGTAAAGAGAGGGATAGAGTCAGTGGAAACCGTTGTGGAGACTTTCTCCTGCAAAGCTCCCAAAAGCTCTTCAAGAGTTGAGGCCCCAGTCGAGGAGGCTGTTAAGGCGGAGAGGAAGCCCTCTCAGGCGGCCGAGGGAGATGGCTCTTAAACGACACTCCCACAGGGCCCCAGGGGAAGGACCCGCTCCCCGACATACAGCGGGGGCCGTTGCTGAGCGACAGGGTAGGGAGCGTGTCACATGATGGGGCCGGCATGGCGGCGGGGTCAGTGTCCGCCGTTCACTGAGGAGACTTTTGAAAGAGCTGAAAACAAATCTGTGCGGAGAGGACATGGGATGAGGTGCATTTCATGTTGGATTGAATGCAGCGTCCTCTGCATAATGTTGTTTTAATGATAAGTCATTTAACCAAATCTCACAGATTTGCTGAACGTGATTCAAGATGATGTTTCTGCTCACAGCTGAAAGCCCTTTTGAAACTCTCAGCTTTGTCATAAACACAGTGTGATGGTCAAAACAAGCTTTTTTAATGTTCTGGATAAAGACAGGAAGAAACTGTTCCCTTATATTTGTTCCTTATCTCTGCTAACAAAAGGGGCTCGTGTCGGCCAAACCCTGGGAGTTTTCAAAGCAGACAAAGTGTCCAGGGAGCATTTGAAGCCAAATCTTTCTCTCATAACCACTGTTCTACTCAGTCACATCACACATCTTGTAATCGGCTCTGAAAAGCAAGGTTTAAAGTAGAGGGTGAGGGGCTCTCTGGCGGTTATGAGCGGGGCTGTCTGAAAACAGAGGACATTAGGTCAATGGATGAGCGCTAATAAGTAAATCAGATTTGCTGTCCTATTTTAACCAGGCCTAACTTGTCTTGGCTCTGACATGCGGCGTGCTGCAGCTATTACATTTCTGTTATGTCATCTAAATTCCTCTCTCCTGAACATGGGAGCAAATTGGGGGGGTTGGGGGGGGAGGGGGGTGCTGAGAGGAGGGCAGAGCTGATTTCAGCAGAAGGAAATCAATGTTCACAGTCAACTTACAGCTGAAACAGGTTGTAGCTTTGACAAATTGATTCATCATGAAACACTTCCGACAGTTTAAGGTATTAGTTTGTTTTTTTTCTCAGAAAAAGCTTATAAGGGCAAAACCCAGAGACACAGAGCTTGATCCTAATGATAGCAGTAATATGGATCTTCTCGCCTGAGGAAAACTTCATTATTACTTCCTATTGATTTTATCAGTTAGCATATATAAATCTGGATTTCAGCAAAGTGAGCAGTTTAGAGCTTTAGGTAGTGTTTGTTGTGTATTAAATGTCTCTCTAACAGACTGGAAAACTCTACTCTACTCACAGTGTGCTTTAGTGAACTGTGCTACTGATCTCTTTAATAGATGTACTCACGGGGATTGGCCAGTTGTAGTCCCTTTTGCCTTTTTTTTTTTTTTTTTTTTTTTTGCAGGCGGCCCACAATGCTCAGGCAGAACTGAGGGGGAGGGGCGTCTGTCTGCTAGTAGTGACCTCTTTGTGAATGAGATTAGCCTGCTCTATTAATCTGTGATTACTTGGACTGTCTTACCGCAGGGCAAAGCCACGCACGTAGAGCTGTGGTGACATCAAAGCACGGAGATCACTCGCTTTGTGTGGATAAACTCATCAGGGCCTCCCCCCTCTCTCTCTCTCTCTCTCTCTCTCTCTCTCCCTCCCTCTCTCTCTCTCCATCACAGGGTACATTACAAGCCCTGTTAGGCCTATTTCATCAGTGTCACACCCCTCCTGCACGACTGTAGTGGTTCAGTCTGGTTCGAGAGCGTCGACAAAACGCTTAATCACGATTTTTCCTCCAAGAGGGTCAGAGTGGCACATTCCCGATTGTTTGCGCTTCAGCAAGCTCTTGGAATTCCTCAGCTCTAAAGAGTGAAAGGAGGCACCAACTTATAAAGCAGAAGGAGGAGGAGGTGGGGCAGCGGCGGCGGGGGGGGCAGAGGCAGCCTTAAGTTTTTCAGCTCCTCGAGCCGTTCATTCTCTCATGTAACAAATGCCTGGTAAACCAGCTATTCAGCACGTAATTGGTTGGGCTTCAGCTCTCGCTCTGTCAGCCTGAGTTGTCTCTACACTTGTTTTTACACATGCAGGACCCATTTTCAGGTTTGATCCGCTGTGGCTTGCAGTTAACAGTGTCAGCATGAGAAAAAAAAAAAATAAATTAAGCAGCACAGTTTTTGTCCTTTGTTTCATCTTGTTTGGTGTTTTTTTTTTTTTGACAGTGGGAGTTTCATGATGAGATTACGGAAGGTGGTTTCTCAGTTTTCCAACTAGTTCAAGCATGAAGAAGCATAAGCCTGCGTAGGAGGGGATGTTGCGTTTGTTTGCAGTTGTACATACAGATTAGGTATCTATCTAGAATATCCCTCATAATGGAGCCAAGTCAGATCGACAACATCTACAATCTGCATGTACATCTCAATCCATCTTTTTTTTGTCAAATGCAACTAAACAGTTGAATAACTGTCTTCAGGTAAAAGGAAAGAGCAGCTTTATCTCAAAGCCAGTAACTAATGTATTTCAAGATATTGATTTTTCTTTTTAAATGGAGATTCTTGAGGCAGAAAGTCTTACCTATTTCAAAGAAAGAAAGAAAAAAAACAGTTAAGGTTAAGATGAACATTTTCAAGTATGTCATAAAACTTTTACACTTTACACTGAAGTAGTTGAATTCTTTATTATGCCTGAGTGCAGATATAATGTACATTTCCTCTAAACTGTTGCCTGAAGTGCTGATCATACAGCAGCTTTTACCGAGCCTTCCAGTGAAGTGGTGCTTAACACACGGAGGTCAGACATGTTGCCACCGAGCTGTGGAAAGGTCTCAGATTCTCCACACAATGCAGGGGTCAGATACACACACACACACACACACACACACACACACACACACACACACACACAGAGAGAGAGAGAGGCCTGCAGGGCTGTAATTTCTCTTCCCAGAGCTTTCCACACCAACATGTTTTGTCTCTTCTCTTGGTGTATTTCAACATATAGTTTAGCTGTGGCTTTTCCTAAATAGAAAATAACACAGACTCTAAAAGCATTGTTGGTGGCCTAGACCGTGTGTGTCTGTCAGCAGGAATTGGATCAAATTAAACACTGTATTTAAGAAATACACAGGCATTTGTTAATCTGATTTAGATGCAGATTTAAGACAGAATTGGAAGTGTAATTTCAGAGAGAAATGAGGCGATGAGCCGTGGCTCCTCAAGTGGTGTCTGCTCTTATTTTAGTCCAACACACGAGTGAGTGTTCACTTACTCCACCTACTGCATAAACTTATAACTTTACTTTTACTTGCGGCATGCATTATAACCGCTGGAGGTCTACAACTCTACCTGAAAAATAGATATTCTGAATAAGATGATTTCATATGAGTGTACGAGTTCATTCATTCTTGTTGTGATCAAACCTCTGGATTTTCTCCTTAAAATTTCTCCCTTAGCTTTCTCTAAAATTAGGAAAACATTTTTTTTTTTATCATTGCGTGGCATCATTTTAATAAAGCTGCAAGTCACTTTATTCAAACCCGAGCCGCTGTGTTTTTACAGCTTCACCGTTACATCAAATGGAAAGATTTTAAATGTAATGTGCATCATTTTACACACATTCCTTTTCCAAAATTCAGTGCAATTGGTTCCTTGCTGGAATATATGAATACATGAAATACAGTTACATGGATTTAAAATAAAAAGCTGG